TTTGATCCCAGCACTCAGGAGGCAGAGACAGGAGGATCTCTGAGTTTGAGGCCAGCCCAGTCTACAGAGCAAGTGCCAGGACAGCAGCCAGGGCTGTACAAAGAAACCCTGTCTCACAAAAAAAAGAAAGAAAGAAAGAAAGAAAGAAAAAGAAAGAAAAGAAAGAAAAGAAAAGAAAGAAAGAGAACATTTAAAGATAGAGAAAAGCAGAGAATGAAGTCACAGATGACATAAAGAGAAAATTGGGCAGACACATACCAAAGAAAGACCACACAGAGCCAGGAAGGGCCAGTTGTGATGTTCATGCCTTTAATCCAATTTCTGTGAATTCAAAGCCAACCTTTGTGTGAGCTACAGGCCATCGTAAGGATGTTTAGTGAGACCTGGTCTGGATGTTTAGTGAGACCCGGTCTCCAGGTTTAAAAAAAGAAAAAAGTAACCTGTAGACCAGGACGAAAGCCTCAGAAGAACCAAGACTTCAGCTCTCAGGCCCAGAACAGGGAAGGTGTGTATGACCTGTGTACTGCTGTGTCCTCGGGACCCCATAGTCCGGGGCAGCGCAGGATGGACATGCCTGAATGTGTCCTTGGATTTCCCCTGCGTTCAAAGCCATCAAAGCAGCCACTCCCAGACGCTGTGACTGGACCACTGCCTCTGCCTAGAAGGCTGCTTCTCACTCCTGAGTGGGACCTCCCGGGTTCCTTGGGCCCTCTCCTTACAGCACTCCAAGTTTTCTGGGACAGTAAATGGCTCATACCTGTTCCTCCAGGCATGACCAGAAACTTCCCCAACAAGCCTTCCCATCGGCCCTCGCCTCTCAGCTCTGGGAGGCATAGGTGGGACTGGCCTGGAACTGGAACCCTTCCTGGAGAGAGGAGTGTTTCTGGACTTGGGCACTAGGGGGCTGAGTGCTCCCCAGCCCCCCATCAAAGGAGTGGGAGGGTCTGACAGTCCTCAGCGGTCCCCAACAGCTCCTGCCCCGCTGCTGTTACAGAGGGCCACCCTCCCTAGACTCCACCTACGTGACCTCTCCTCTACTAATCTCCATCTCCTTAGCTTCCCTTAAGGCCCTCCCTAACCTCCCCTCTCCAGTCTCTCCACGTCAAACTCGGGCTAACTCTGGGCTGTGACGGATCAAAGGTTGGAGTGGTTGCCACTGGAATGAAAGGGGCGGCACTTTCCTGAAACCGAAAGCAGGGGGTCTGCGTAGTAGAGTGGGCGTGGGCGGTCCTGTGGCTGGGAAGTCCCAGCTGTGGGTAATCAATTGGGCTGTTCTGGAGGCCTCCCGCCTGGACCTGGTCTCAGGATCCTTCGTAGCTGGCTTCCCTAGGACCTCTTCTGCCTGGGCACAGCTGTCTGCTCACATACCAGGTATGACCCAGTCAGGTGGGGCAGAGGGTAGAGGGTGTTTGGGGCAGTGGGTGGAGACTACTCTGGCTCTGTTAGTGGCCTTTCTGGTCAAGGGCCTGGCCAGCTGAGCTACAGTGCCAGCCAGCTCAGTCACAGAAGATACACACACACACACACACACACACACACACACACACACACACACACACACGGGGAGGCACTAGAGCCAGCATGAATATGTGCAAAGCTGACGCTCACCTAAGTGTAGATGTACTCCAGGATCACAGCCATGTCAGCCACTTGAGCATCTGACATTTACCGGCCCTTCATGGATCTGAGCCAGGCTCACTCCATGTTCCACAGGGCTCTTGGTCAACTGGCAGAGACATCTTAGTCCACATAACTATCTAGGACCAGAGCTAGACCCAGGAAAGAATGTGGTGTGTGCTGGGAAGGCACTCAGAGGAAGAGCCCTGAGGAGTTGGCAGTTGAAAGAGCTCAGGTCACTGCTAGAGGCAATCTCACAAGAGCATGGCAGAGGAATGGGTTCTAGGGGACAGAGGGGCAAGACAGTGGCGAGTGACGGGTAACCGAGGGCTGTGCATGCCAAGTTAAGAAGTCTGCACTTCCATGGGTGATAGTAACCCAGGGGTGTTTATATTTTGGCAACTGTGAAGGGAGCCTGTGTCTTTTTTAAAATGGGTTTGGTTGGCATATAAGACAGCTACTGGCCAGGCGGTGGTGGCACACGCCTTTAATCCCAGCACTCGGGAGGCAGAGGCAGGGGGATCTCTGTGAGTTTGAGACCAGCCTGGTCTACAAGAGCGAGTTCCAGGACAGCCTCCAAAGCCATAGAGAAACCCTGTCTCAAAAAAACAAACAAACAAACAAACAAAAACAGCTACTGGTTGTCTTTACAAAATCAACATATGAAATTTCCCAAACTCTTTTGCTAGCCCATAATAACCAACCTTGGGATTTTTAGGCAGACAGATATAAACATTTAAACAGCAATCTGAACAATTGCAGCTATTACTGATTTTCCTTGTCTGGTTGGCTTAACTAGATCTTGCAGGAAAACACTGAGGACATTCTTGTCCTGTTCCATATTTTCAGGAAAGGGCCCCAGCTTGTAGGACGTTTCAAGGCAAGAGTGCCACAGCCTCCCTGCAGTGGTTATTCCTGGGGCTTTGAAGGATAGGGGAAGGCCCAGTCCTAGCAGGTGGGGAGGAAGGATGTGGTTTGTCCTGGAGAAAAACAGAGAAAGTGACGGTTGATTCAAGAGGGAAGATCTAGCAATGGGTAGAAGCAAGTCTAGGAAATTACAGTCTAGACGTAACCTAATGGTCACAGCTGGAGTGGCCCATGGTGACTTTCCCTGCCCCTGCCACTGGCCATGCAGTTGGGACTGTAGCTTGACTTGCAAAGAGGTGAGCTAAGGGCCCGGGCTGTCCTGGATCTGAGGGATCTTGGGGCTTAGTACCAAGCTTCAGTTCAGGGAATGACAGCAATGTGAACAGGAGATAGAGAGCCAGGGATGGGCCTTGTGGCCAACAGAGGGAAAGGTATGGGGATGGAGTCCACAGCCCAGCAGCCCAGCAGGCACCAGGATGACACCTTGCCAGGCCAACCTCATATGGGGCACCCACTCACACTGGATAGTCCATGCTTGTGAACTGTGCTCTGGGGTGAAAGAGAAGGGGAACAGACAGACTTTCTAGCAGGGAAGAAGCCACATCACAGTAGGGACAGTCCTGAAGGGCCACTGAGCAGATGACTCAAGTTGAGAAGTCCTTGGTGGTAGGGGACTCCCTGGGTCCTGAAAGCCAGGTCCAATTTGGAGACCAAAGAGAACAGGAATCAGGAGGGGATACAGCTTGAAAAGGGACCAAAAACTGCACACTCGGCAGGACGGAGGGGGTCCCATGCGCTAACGTGAGTAACTTGCGGCCCAGGAGTGAGGCAAAGAAAGATCAATCCAGAAGCGGGGAATTTGAATGTTCGGTATGGGGCTTGGGATGGCTTGAGGGTACTGAGGAGTCTAGAAGATTTTAAAATAGGGGAGTGACCCATTTGGATGGGGGAGGTCAAGAGTGGTTTGGATAGACGCTGAGAGCTGCCGAGGCCAAAAGTGGCATGACGGCTACTGGGAGGCTGCTTGGTGGCCTTGATGGCCCTGTAGTGCAGGCCTGGTTTGACATGAGGGTGGCTGAGCAGCCTGAGTGAGCCCAAAGATTCCTTGTAACCTGCCATGAAATTCACGTGTCCAGCTGTCCCTCCTTATCTAGAATCTGTCCCCAGATTCCCCTGCAAGGACTGCCAAATCCAACTCCTATCTTGGGACCCTCACAGGGAGAAGAGCTTTTTGGGGTATCACCTGACCCTCTAGTGAGCACACCAGTCACCCTTTGTCCCTAGCTTCTGCAGAGACTGACTGAGTGGCTTGAGGCTAGACCCTGCTCCTCTGTGAGCCTCAGGTTTCCCAATGGCGCAGATAAAACTCCCCAACTTTTTTGTCCTGGGGATGAGATCTGTGTTAACACTAGGCTGAACACACAGTAGGTGCTTAGTAAACAAAGGTGAGCTCTCCCCAGCCAAGGCAGGACTCACCTTGTCCTCCCCCTCTGTATCAGGGAGCTTGGAGAACACAAGGGCAGGTGCCATCTCCCACGCTGGGCACTGAAGGGCTCCATAGAGGAAGGAGGCCAGAGATTGCCATGTATGGGTCAGGTCTGTGTGGAGCAGGGTCTCTGAACTGGGTGTCAGGGCAGGATAATGACCTGTGGCCAGGGTGGAGCTGATAAGGCCCCAACCAATTGCTTGCACCTCCCTCCTTCCTCTGGGCTTCCTTGAAGCTGCTGGTGGCCTCTGGAGCTCCAGAAATTTAGGCCTCAGCTGACTCTGACAGATACCTTGCTGGAGGGCTAGAGCCCAGGGGCTGGCCCCTGTCCAGCATGCCTAAAGTCCCAGGGAAGGGCAGTTCCTTCCTGACTCACCCAGGGGTCTGGCCCAAGCTCCTACTTGGATTTGTCCTGGTATGGTGGGAGCTCTGCAGAGGGCTGGGAGCTATGCTTCTGCTCCATCTAGCCTTTCTTCTTTGCTCTCTTTCTTTCCCTTCCTTCCTTCCTTTCTTTAAAGATGTATTTGCTTTATGTTATGTATGTATGTTTTGCTTGCCTGTATGTCTGTGTACCATGTGCATTCCTGGTGCCCTCAGAGGTCAGAAAGCATATTGGTTGCCCTGGAACTGGAGTTACAGATGGTTGTGAGCCACTGTGTGGGTGCTGGGAATTGAACCTGTGTCCTCTGTAAGAGCAACTAGGGGCCGTCTTTTCAGCCCAGTCCAGCCCTTCTTTTGGTTCAGTTTCCTCAAAGGCAGAGGAGGAGCTTGCTGGCTTAATACCATCCCCCACCCCTGTCTGGCTTGCACAATGTGGTGGGCAGGAGGTTCCAGCGGCCTGGAAGGCTGTCTCTTCTCTCCCACCCCCAGCTAAACATACAGTCAGAAAAGCAAACAGTCAGGCTTTGCTACTGGAAGAGAATATGGTGGTGTCTGGCGCCTGCCAGGGGCTTGAGCTGTGTCTCCCACGCTCTTGAGACCACTACCACACTCTGTGTGGTGGAAACTGGGGGATTGGCAAGAGGGGGAGAGCAGCAGGTAGGAAATACATTGGGATTCCTCGGCTCCGGGTTAAATATAGACCCGAAGCCCCTCCCACCACCTTCCCTTCAGGCTGTGTGGTGAAGATAAGTAGCTGGGTGCTGGGAGACTAGTGCCCTAGGGCATCATCATACCCTCTCCAGCTCCACAGAGTGAGGAAGGGAATGCTTCAGGAGGTTCCTGTTTGAGCAGAAGCGATCCTGTCTTTTGTGCTGAAAGAGGTGAGCCCAGCTCTCTGGAGGAGCTAAAGGGGGGCTGTGGGAGGAAGGCGTGGGGAGAGGGTTTGGCTTTAGAATCTAAAATCCTAGAAGTTTGGGATATGGGTACTGGACCCTGCTCTTGTGGGTTGTGGGTTGGGCTGGTTCCCAGAATATGCAGTCCTTCTAATTGGTGGAAATTACTCAGGCTTAATGAAAGGTGGACCCTTGGAGAAAGCCTTCTGGGGATGGCACCAGGGAGGCACTCTGTTGGCAGCAGCTGTTTGCATCTTAGAACCAGCTACCCTCCAGAATGTAGAAGGCTCTGGCCAGTCCAGTGGCTGGCAGACATTTTCCTTTTCCATAGAAGAGACCAGCCTTCCTGCAGGGCTGGGTGAGCCCCAGGGAGCTTCCCCGGGTTCTGTGTCTGCTTCCTGGGCTGGAATCCTCCAGGCCTCTCGGGCTGCTGTCTAACCGCCAGCTTTTCTGCTTCCAAGATGCCATTGTCACGGACAGTGACTCCTGGGCCAGAGCGCCAAAGCCCCAAGGAGCTTGGGAAGTCACAGACCCTACCTCAGGCCACCCGGAAGTCCAACAGTATGAAAGAGCCAAGGGCACACCATGGGGACACCCTGAAACCCGGCCTGAGCACCCTGAAGCGGACCTTCTTCCGGACCAGCCTGCCACCTCTCACCCTCAAACCCAAGGAGGACCCAGGCCTAATCAGGAGGAGTTCCCGCTTCCTGTTACGGTCCCTGAGACGGGCCCTGGATGAAGGCCTAGCTGCTGGGCACCCTCAAGTCACTGCTGTGCCAGAGAAGCCTTCCAGGGTCCCAGACAGTGTCAGTCGGCAGGCATCGACGGGGATGGGGCCTGAGGACCTGGAACCCCAGACAGGTAGGGTCTCATACAACAGTGTGAGAGGAAACTGAGACCACACAGGGGCTGAGCCTAGGTATCCCGACACACTTCCCTTGAGGCCTAATTCACCCAGACCCTGCCTTCTGCACAGATTCTTCCAGTATCTAGCAAGGGAAGCCCAATGCACCCACTGGGCCAAAAGAAAAACCAGGCTCAGCTAAGTGACTTGCGTGGTATCTCATGGCTAACCAGAAGACAAGTGGGATTTGAAACCTAAGTATTAGGCGCTGATCCTTTCAGACCACAGGGTCACAGAGGTTCATCTGGGCCACTATTACCTGGAGGGGCAGCTAGGAGGACAGCTCAGGGAGCAAACGTTGGACTTGGACTGTCAAGAAGGGATCCTGCAGAGTAGAGAGCTCAACACGGGGAGGGCAGAGAGCACGACAGAAAGGCTGACTCTGTACGTTAGGACAGGACACACCCAGCTGAGCTCTGAACCTATTAGACCTGCGATTACAGCCCACACGAGGTCACCAGGACCAGCTCAGCAGAGATGGGAGTGCGGATGGGGTGTGGGGGGGTGCAAGATAGAAGGCGCTGGGGCTGGTCTGTATAGCCGGTGTGTGCATGCAGCCAGGAGCTGACCCAAGTTATTTTCAGTCAGATTTGGGGCCTTGATACTGTTCTTTCAAATGTGATTCTAAGCAAAGATTTCTGGCAGCTGGAGCAGTTCAATGGCGCGCAGAACATCTGGGCAGTGGCCAGGCAGCCCAGCCCAAGTCCCTGAGCGCAACCTAGTTGTCTAAGTTGGTACCCAGTACCCCTAGGTTGGTCCCTCTCATTGACCCCTTTCTCACCCGCGCTTGCAGAAAGCAAATCCGTGACAGACCTCATCACTGAGCGGCAACTAGTGAAGGCCTTCGAACAGTTGCGGTACCTGGAGACGCAGCTGGTGGCAGACAGAACCTCACGCACCTTTGCGCAGGACCCCACCGACTATGCGCGGCGCGCTATGGACCTTTGCCTACATTACGATGGAATGGCCGCGGAGATCGGAGCCATTGTGCGCGAGGCGCTGGGTTCTGAAGGCGTGGATCGAGACGCTCTAGCCGAACTGGCCCAAGTGGTGCACTTGGAAGAGGAGGCCCATCAGGCCCCCCAAGCTGAGGGTGACTTCTTGAGCCCGCCCCGCCACTGGCGTCAGCACTGGGAGGACGCCGTGCAGCGCAGCGCTCAGGAGCGCGTGCAGCAGGCAGGAGACAAAGTGACCCCCGGGGCTGCTGCGGAGGGTGCGTCCGACCTAGCCCAGCTTCTGGCTGAACTTGGTGGTGTGGTCCGCCACGACCTGCAGAAGGTGCGATTAGAGATGCAACCCGCTTACGAAGCCACCGACTTTCCAGTGTGGGAGACCTACTTGCGTGCCTTCCACAGCGCGGTGGCCCAGCGTCTGCAGGAGCTGGCGCGAGACGCCAGGGGCTGTGAGCAGCTCTATGTGCTGTTAGACTGGGCCGCCAATGTGTATGGCAGGTGAGGCCTGAGATACAGCGCTTAAGGCAGGCGCAGGAACCACTACCCACCAGGAGACCTTAGAAACAGCTTCAAGAACACAGGGTCCCTTTCTGCCCCATTCCTTTGCTGGCCAGGAAGACTGGGAATTTTGTCATTCTTTTGTGCTAGGCTGTGTGCTCCCATCCCAGGTTTTCCTAAAGGATCATAGAGGTTCCCAAAGCTAGTCTCTCACGTGCGCTTCCCACCAGAGCCAGGAGCCCCAGAGGGCAATGCCAGCCATTGAGGTGGCTGCAAATACTCTGGACAAAAGCGGCTTTCCAGGCAGGGTGCCCCTCAGGGTGTGGGTTCAGCCTGCTTTTCATGTAGATGATCATTCCAGCGCAGCCTGCAGTCTGATAGGGCTTCCATCGCTGAAACGTGCTGTGTAACAAGGGTGCTTTAGGTCCCAGCTTTGCCACAGGCCTAAGGGAGACGAATACACGAGGGAGAAGGCTGCCAAAATCCTGGCTTCTTCAAATTGCTGTGGTCAGACCATTATTCTTGGGCACCCTGACTTGGGTTGGATGGGTGGTATGTATGTGGGTGGGGTGTCTAGAGCTCAGTCTTGAATGAAGGGGAAAACCATGAGGACAGAGGTCACGTTGAGGCAGTCTGGCAGAGGTCCATCCAGGCTAACCATGAGGGTAGAGGTCACATTGAGGCAGTCTGGCAGAGGTCCATCGGAACAGCTTCTTAACCACTCTGAGCAGGTCCAGCTGGATGCTGGAATGCCAAGAAGTCCAACCCAGCCATCAGAGGTTTCCGGGAAGGAAAGCGATGGCACAGACCTCTAGAGGGTAGAGCAATGGAATGTGTCAACAGAAACCGAGTCCAGGGCCCTAATGATGGCTTTAGACTTTGAACCTGGTTAGGGACGGGAGGCAGCTGGTGGGCATCAGAGTCCACCCAGCTCCTCAATACCCTCCCCCTTGCTTTTCAGTCCTGACTTCCTGGGAGCTCCAGACTTGGCACTGCCCACCGAACCGCTGCCCCCGCTCCTAGAGCCTGCTCTGTGGGCACGACTGGAAAGTGACTACACTAGCTTCCTAGAGGTGAGGCTGCCGGCTCCGGGATCCAGAGGCTGGGTCCTGCAGGAGGCTTGAGGATTGGGTGTGTATCTGTAGGCATGGACTGTGGTCCAGGGATACTAGTCCCTGAAGGCGCAAAATGGGACTTGGAAATCAGGGGGCGCCCTTAGCTTCCTCCCGGAAAGCTCACCTCAGCCCTCTCCTAACCCCACAGACAAAGATCACAAGCTGTTTTGACAGCATCTTGCAGCTGGAGCAGAGGCGTTGGGAAGCCGGCGAGGACCTGGAAGTGCTGCAAGGCCTCTACCACACGCCCCTGTCCATAGACGTGCACATGGTGCGCACGGGAGGGGACTGAGGAGGGGCTGGTGTTCTGACCTCAGAAGGGAACCTGTGGGGTGATCTAGGCCCCTGGAGCCCATGGCCAGTCTAGGTTACAGCTCTCAGCTCTGCCAGTGGACTCTGGGAGTGGGGGTGGTGACCCTCACACTGGGGCAACTGAAAACTGCAGGGGGCTGGTTTAGGACTCAACCGTGTCCCTGACAGCTCGTGGCTGAGCACGTGAAGGCGGCCGGCGCTATCTCCTCGGAGCTGGAGGCCACCACCCTGCAGATCTGCACGCGCGCGCTCTGCCTCTTTGTGCCCAGGTGCGGGTGGCATCCTCAGCCCCGGAAGGGTGGGAGATGACCCAGCCAGGAGTGGGTGGGGTCCACCGGGGAGTCTGAGTGTGAGACCCGCATCACCGGTGAGGACCTAAGAGGGCGGAGACCCGAGGTCAGAGACATGACCCTTTCCGGTCCCCAGGTTTGAAAAGGCTTTTCTGGCGTCAAAGGCGGTGAGCGAGTGCTACCTGGGTGCCTACCTTAACGCCTGCGTGGAGATGAGGTAAGTCGCCCCAGCTCCGGGGCGTCGCCGAGCACTGACAGCAGGGGGCGCGCGAGCTCAGGAAAAGAGATCCGAAGCAGCAGCGGCGGCGGGGGCGGGGGAGTGAGCAGCCCTCATGTCTTGTCGGTTCCCCCAAGGCCTTCCTAGCTCTAATGTGTTCAGCAGAGCTAGGGCCATGGAACGAATGTGGGGCTTCAAGGCTGACCAGAGGCTGAGGAGATCCGGGCCTCTCCTGGTCCCAGAGCTCCATCCCATTCCGTCCGTTCTTTTTTCTGTGTTTTACCTCCTCCTTGGAGAAGCTCCCTCCCAGAATCCCATCTTGGACAATCCCGGGCGCCTCTGCGCTCCAAACACCCTCTTCCCCATAGATATGCTAGTCTGGGGAATGCAGCCCTCAGCAGAAGGCATGCGATCTGGGCTACCTTGTGGGTTGGGATTCCAGCGTTGCCCATTGTTGGCTGTGCTCCCTGGGACACCATTTCTGCCTCTTTAACAAAGCCAGAGCCTGCTTCCTCAGGCCCTGGGAACTCAATGCATACGAGCTCTTTATGAGCACTTGTGATAGCACCAGGTACCATGTGCCTGCTTCATCCACCTCAGGTGACTCCCGGAGGCCAGGATACCCAGGTACAAACAGACAAGCAGATGCTGGTGCAGCCAGTAAGCCATTGCAGCTAGGGCTTAAACCAGGCCTGCTTGTGTCCACAGGGTGGCCAACTGATGCTCGGCTTCCCAGCACTCTCTTGCTTACCTGTGCCGGGCCTATCTTCAGCAATGGTGGGGTGGGCAGGAGGGAGAAGGGACCCACTCAGCCTTGGGAAGCAGTCTCCACCTCTTGATAGGCTGGTCCTCAGTTTTCTCAACAGTGAAATGGGACATTGTCATCCTCAGAGGCAGTGATGAAGCTCACTGGAGAGCTTAGCCAGGCATGGCTATGTCACAATGTCCTTTCACAATGTCCCAGTCATGGCTGGCTGTCCCAAAGCTGCCAGATGGGACCTGTGTCTCGGAGCTGAGCTGCCAGGGTTTATGATTGGCTCCCGAGGATTTAATGTCCTCTCATTCAGTTCTGCTCCCCAGTTCTTTTGCACCCCTCCGGGGAGGGGACTGCACTTCACAGCTCAGTCTAAACCAGTGGTTCTCAGCCTGTGGGTGGAGACCCATTTGGGGACGATCCAAGTCTCGTGTCAGATGTCTTGTATATCAGATATTTGCATTACAATTCATAACAGTAGCAAGATTACAGTTATGAAGCAGCAATGAAAATAATTTTATAGTGGGGGGTCACCACAACACGAGGAACCGTATTAAGGGGTTGCAGAGTTAGGAAGGGTGAGGACCACTGGTGAGTGAGTCAGTGCAGTGCCCAGTCCGCAGGGTTGTCCCAGGCCGGTCTTATTCCCCAGCCTGCTTCCCCTAGTCCAGCTCATTACTTGTTTTGGCCCCTCCCCAGAACCAGCCTTCTGGCCAGGTTCCCAGGAACCATAAAGGAACTGGAGAAACCCCTGGTGGCTGCCACCAACAGCTTCCAGAAGCACTTGCTACAGATTGTACAGCAAGACATGCAGGTGACTGGACACTCTCCATGCCCGGCGGTGCCCATCCATTCCCTGACGTTCCAGGCCCAGTTCCCAGTTTTCATCCATTTGTCCTAAACAAGTTCCCAGCAGAGGAAGGGCAGTCGGGAAACACCTGCCATCTCACTGTAATTCCCCAGAAACCAACACCCAAGAACTGGGATGGTGGGCCAAGAAACAAGGCCTAGAGCCCCTTGACCAGCCACTTGCACTATGTCCGGCACACACCCTAAGCAGGGCCTGCCAAATCCGTAAACTCAAACCAGGCACATTGGAGGAGTCTTTGTGGGAAAGGCTCAGGGATAACATTTGTGCCTAGGAAATAGGATGGCACAAGGGGACCCAAGGGCGAAGGGGTTAGGGATGGAGAACAGGGCTTACTCCCGTGTCCTTCTGTTCCAGCCACTATTCAAGGTGTTATATACCAAGAGCTGGCTCACACAGGACACACTCCATCCTCTCATGGACAAGGTGGTGGACTTTGCGCATCACCTTGAACATGTGACCCCACCACTGGCTCAGGTACCAGGAAGCGGGGTGGCTGCCATGGGTGTGCAGGGCCAGTATGCCTTTGATCCTGACCCTAGCCTCACTTCACTCTCCCAGGAGACTCTGCAGGAGGTGCACCGATTTGTGGTCCGAGAGTACCTGGGGCAGGTGCTAAGGCCCCACGAGAGGTTCAGTGGCCTGGATCGTGTGAACGGCTCCCATAAGATGAGCCTGGATGCCCAGGCCATTAGCAGCACCTTCCAGGGCTTGGTAGGAACAGCATCTCAATGTCAAGCAGGGCTCAGTCTCTGGCCAGTCAGGCAGCTGTTATTCTCATTTCTTCTCCTCCTGCATAGAGCCCCCACAGCAGGTGCAGGAGAGGGTGGGTAGTGGAGAAGACGCCAGAGGGCTGGACTCAAGTGGGGCAGGCCCGGGTGGGGGGTGTCACTTTACATTATATTTGACGGCAGGGGGCTGGACTCAAGTGGGGCAGGCCCGGGTCGGGGGTCACTTTACGTTCTATTTGCATACAGTTGTGGATGAAGGTGAGCACGGGATGAGGGTTATGATGGGCAAGATCTGTGGAGGTCTTCCCCCACTCGGACACGCGGAACCCTTAGAGCCATGCCCAAAGCCCTTATAACTGGGCTGCTGTTCTCCTACTGGTGACAGGTTCCACGCAGCACTTCCCTGATCAAGGGCTAGGTTCTCATCTGCAGAGGCAGGAAGACATCTCTAGACAATCACTGCAGACGCCCGGCTCTATTCCCTGCCCCCCGTGGCGTCTTATTATGGGCAAGCCACCCGCGGCACATACCTGGGAAGGGTGCAGCAGGACACTTAACGGGATGGGGGGGGGCGTTGTACGCAAGGAACTCCATGAGAAAATGGACCATAGCATACATCTCCCTGTCTCCCCAGGGCTCTGAAGCCACGTGGCTGGACCAAGCCATCCTGTGCGTGGCTGAGATCCTGGGCGAGACCTACAAAGACGACATCCGGCGGCACCTGGAGACTCTCATACGGAGCTACCCAGACATCAGGTTTGCAGACCCTCCTCCCCCACTAGTGTCTGACCGAGAGTCAGGGGTCACTGGCACCTGGCACTCGCGCCTTCAGCACAGTCCTGCTGGCTCTGAGCGCTGGGCGATGTGCAGAGGGAGGAGCGAGCTTGTCCGGGTTGAAAGAACCTCGACGGCGCGTGCGCATGTGCACGAGGGAGGGGCACGGCCAGCTCTTCCTCGTGTTCTTCATAACCCGCGGACAACGCGACCCCCACCTCCCGGGCGCAAACCCTCTCTGGAATCCCTCTGAGGCTCGGAACCCGGGTTGTGCGGGACACTGAGTCATCGGAGCCAGTGGAAATCCCGGTTCGACACTCCAATGCGCGCTCAGACATTCGGAGATGGAAAGGCCTCTGAAAACCCCTGGTCCAGCCCCTTCCCTGGCTCCCGGCTGCCAGCAGCCAGTTTGCTCTGCCAGATTTTGGATCTGGGGGACGATCCCGCTAGCCCATTTCTAAGTTTGTAGTTTCCCTACTGCTACTTGGGGGTTCCCCAGCCCGGGTTTGGCCCTCTCTTCCTGGCTCCAAGGGCGACCCTGGATGGCTGTGGGGAGCCAGTGGAGAGACAGTGACTCAGCAGACCCCTCTGTACCTGCTCTTCTCCACTCACCGCCTCCCTCCAACCTCCCCATCCCCCAGCCTGAAGCCTGATCTTCACCTCCTTAGCGGTCTGCCAGTTTCTGGAACCTTCCCTAGGTCAGATTCCTTGCTTTGCCGCAAGGCTTCTTTCTACTGTGCGCATGCTCCCTCCCGTCTCATGCCTGTGTGCTTCTAGGTTCAGTTGCTGTGCACCCCCAGGACCACAACCCCTCCTCCTTTTCGAGCCCTCATCTCCTCCTGGCCTGGGAAGATCCCAGCCTTTCAGCCTCTCTGACCCAGCTCCAGGAATGCTGGCTGAATCATACTTCCTCCCAAGCCTGGGTTCCTGTCCTCCCTGGGGGCGGAGTGAGGGCTGGAGGGTGTCAGGGGCACCGCTGTGCGGTAAGGACCCCAATCTCTACAGGCGTGACCATATATTGGCCATTCTGGCACTGCGTAGACTCGGCCGCCGTAGGAACCAGAATCTGCTGCACCACACCCAAGACTTGCTGAGAGCAGCGCCCGAGGTCAGGTGCTCCCCACACCGTGTGCTCTTTGAAGAGATCGTAGTGCCCACCTCCGTGGATGTGCTCATCACCTGCATCTAGGACTGAATAGCAAGCAGGAGCCTGGTAGGCGGAGGGTCTGTCACCCTCCCCGGTGACTGACCCCAGGTCGGGAGCCCAGTGAGTCATTCTGGCCCAACCCCCAGCTTTGAAGCCAGGAGCCATGGAATTTTTGGTCTCAGTTGCTTAACTGCTCAGCCAGGGGGAGCCAAGAGTGGAGGCATTCCAGGCATTTGTGGGGGAGTCTGTTGGGACCGCTGAGGCTCCTTGCAGGTCTGCGGGCGGGCGAGAGAGGACTTCCCTTTCTAACTGCCCAGCATAACCCCACTACAGCGAGGAGATAAATATTCTAAAAATAAATGTGAATTAAAATAGTGCCTACGGTTGGGCAAACTAAGCTGGTTGGAAGGGGTGATGCTGGAAGGTGGTGACTACTGGATGAACTGGATGACTGATTCAAGTTCTGAGCTGGAAAAGCCCCTGCCTGTAGCTGCAGATCCAGGCCTTCAAGGGGTGGAGAGATGGCTCAAAGCTGAGGAGCACTTGTTCCCTCTCCCCGGGGGCCCAGGTTGGGTTCCCAGCACCACCTACATGACAAAAAGCAATCATTTGTGACTCTAGTTCCAGAGGATCCAATGCATTCTTCTGGCCTCTGTGTGATGCACAGACAGACATGTGGGCAAAACACCTGTATATCAAGTAAAAAAGCAACAAATAAAGCCAGCCCTTCACCAGAACTCTGGGTCCGCTAACCTTAAACACCAAGCTGGTCTTGCCCAGAAGGAGGTGGGTAGCCCTCTGCCCTGTTCTAGGCAGCCTGAGCCCTTGAGGACACTGGCTGTACAGCTTGAGGTAGTCTGGTTTCATATAGGAGGGACTTTCCAGCAATGGAAGTAGTCTGGTTACCCTGTGTGTATGGGGGGGGGGTTAAGGTTTAGCCTTGGAAACAGGAGACATTGCACCTGCTCTGAGCCTGAGGGACAAGGTTGAGGACCTATTTGCATTGATGGCTCCAATTTCCAGGGAGACTGAGAGCCCAGAGGGGATTGGCAGGGAATTGATGGCATAAGCTCTGATGGTTTTCTTAGCCTACTGTTCCCCAGCAGGCTCCCCTGTAGCTCTGGGCCTGACTGGGACACAAGCTTGTGTGGGGTCAGGTACCCTGCAGGTGGCCTGGGGTCCCAGTGAAGCTTCCATCCTCAAGTGTAAGACCAGGGTTCTAAAACACTGCAGTAGGAGGTGAGTGGGCAGCTCGTCTCTCCCTGCTCTCCCAGACCCCTCTCCCTGTACTGTAAACAGCCAGAGAGTAATTAATGTCCAGGCCAATCCGCCCCCTCTCCCGGTGCTGGGCCTGGAGCACAGAGCCATCTGAGTCTTCTGGGAACCCTGGGGTGGGTGTCCAGAATTCTTACTTCCTCCTAGGAGCAGGTGTCAGGGGCAGTGTGACACCCCCCACCACCACCACCACAGTGTGTATCAGGGCTGGATGCCAGGGGCAGGTCAGCCCAGCAGGGGAGATCCAGACCTCTGTGGGGAAGGGTAGGCAGGGCAGGAATGAGGAAGTGAAGCTGTTGAGGTTCCCAGGCTCCAAAGTCAGAGGTGAAACCTGGGAACTGTTGACACTTGATAAGCAGTCCTTCCTGCCAGTAGGGAAACTGAGGTCTGTAGAAGGCAAGTGGCCTTGAAACCTCATAACCTATAGAGTTCAGAGTGTGAGCAGCACCTCTAGCATAAAGGAATGATTCACTGGCCAAAAGTCTCTGCTTGGTCCCACATGTACCCCTCAGTGGTCGTCAGAGTCCTGCTGGCAGTGCAGAGAGGGTTCTGAGAGGTAACAGAAGACCTGATCCTAGACAAGTTCTCCCCAGAGAGCCCTCAACCTTCCCCCACAATACTTGTACGTCCCAGGCCGCTCACCAGGTCCAGCAGGGCCCCATCCTAGCTGTCCTGCCTGACTGGAGCCTCAAGGCTGAGTGTCTTAGATGAGTCTGTAGGCAAGTCTCTATACCTGTCTTGCCTCAGTATTTCCAGCTGTGAAATGGGCATGCCATCAGTGCCTTCCAGCCAGAAGAGCTAGCGTAGAGCTGGCTGAGGAGAGTGGAACAGGAGCTAGCCATAAAGCCAGGCTCCTGACCTCCGTATGAGCACAGGACCCAGCCAGACCATAATCTGCAGACAATGTTGAAGTATGAACCGGGTGCAGCAGCGGGGTCGGGGGCCAGGTGGAGGTGGAACTGGACCGTGAGTGTTCAGCAGAGCATGAGGTAGGTGGGCATGTCTGGTTAGGAGAGAGTGATTTGGAGGGTGCGCCCAAGGCTGAGCAGCATCAAGCGGGGCATGAGGAAAGACTTGGTCCTAGCGCTCCTTAGATTCTCCAGGCTGCCTTCCTGAGGGTGCCTAGACCTGGAAACAGGAAATCTGGGTTTCTTGGCTGGAAGTGTACCTTGTGCAAGGAGCATTGGCATGTGTTCCTATGAGCCTAGTGATGACTAGGGCCTGGGGCCACCCTCTGAAAGCTCAGTCACAGGTAGCCAGGTAGCCAGGGTACAGTCAGGGAGACTGAGGACAAGTGGGACAATGAGAGACTGCTGCTTCTGGCTGGTGGCTCTTCTGCCCTGGGTGCGTTGTGTTTGGGAACCTCCTACCCCCACTACCTAGAGAGACTCCTTAGGGCATCTTCTTAACTATCCTGCTGTCCGTCCAGGCCAAGCTTGAGGGGGACATGGACTGTCTCTCAAAGCTATCTTAGGATTCACTGACCGATTGTCTGGTGTGTGTGTCTGTGTGTGTGTTTGTGTGTGTGTATGTGTGTGTGTGTGTGTGTGTGTGTGTGTGTGTGTGTGTGTGGGTGTGTGTTTGTGTGGGTGTGGGTGTGGGTGTGGGTGTGGGTGTGCGCGCGTGCATGCGCACGCGCACGCAGCCAGCACTGTGAACCTGTCCTGCAGGAGGGAGCCTGTGCCCAGCCTCCTCACTCTTCTCCCACGCAGGAGAGCCTGGAACCAACTTCTTTGCCTCTCGATCTCCAAGCCTAGCTCCTGCTAGCTGTCCCTCGGTCCCCAGCCTCTGCCTGGCTTTCTCTTCCCCACCACTCTTTTCTCCTCAGAACTCACCTGATTTGCACAAGGCCCTCTGTGACGATCTCTCCTCGTCCGCTGGGCTCAGTGTACCATGCTGAAACAGCCACAAGACTTGGGATATGGGCCAGTTGTCTCAGCCCTGTGTCCCTTTCCTTTCTGAGGTTTAGTCCCATGGAATGGAGTAGCTGGTAGGGAGGGAGCTAGGGACAGGCAGGCTGTCTGCAGAGATCCTGGTTTGAGGGTACTGTAGGTACAGGCCTGTCACCTTCGTGCCTTCCCTGCCGCTCCCTCTTCCTTCCTTGCCTGCTGGTCCTGGCTCCTTCCTTCCTGGCCCCAGACCTCAGCAAGCCACACTCATGGGGGGGGGGACCACCCTCAGTGACTTTGAGGTGTTTCCTGCAGAGCTTCTCTTCACTAACCAGGCTGCATGGGGGGGGGGAGGCAGCACTACCCTCTATTCACATTCTCACTTCCTTCCTTTGCTAACACACACACACACACACACACACACACAGAAAAGAAAAACCACAAAAACAAAAACCCCTTGGGAACTACAGCAGGCCACCAGAGTCTTCCACCATCCATCATCAGTCATGGGGAGGGGCAAGACTGGTCTGCCTTGTGACAAGTTAATCTGAGGGGAGGCTGGCCACTGAGATAAAGCAAAGGGACTTCGGGTGCTGATAGCTGACTCCACAGTGCTCCAGGGGCAGCCCTGATTTGTAGCAGCTAAAGTGTCCAAGTGGGAAGCAAGGACCCCTGTGGAAGAATGGCCAGAGGCTCAGCCCAGCCTTCTGTGTCCCAGCTCATGAAGGGAACTGAAACGTGACCACCACTCCTATCCCAGTCTGCTTATCCCTAGGCCTGTGGTGCCTGGATCAGTGATTGCAAAGGTCCTTTTGCCCTCCTGCAGATAAACCCACTGTCAACTCACCACTCAAAATATTTATCATACCTAGTTTGCTTTTGGTTTTCTGTAAGTCATCCCATTTCAGGGAAGGGCCCATGGCAGGGATGGCTTGAAAGGATGGAAACTTTGCTTGCATCACTGCCCTGAAATGTTGAGAAAGGCTGGCCAGTCTTCAACGAAACAGCTGGGCTTGGGGCCGGGGAAGCACCCTAGCCTGTAGGCAGGGCCTGTGCTTCCAGGAGGCTGCTCTGCAGTCCTGTAATACACTCCTCTGGAGATCTGCTACCGAAGAGCCCTGCTTTCTCTCGAGACCACCCCCACCCCCACTTCATCCTGGGAAGGGGACAGGGACACTGCAACTGTGAGCAGCTTCTAACAGAATTGGGGTGGGGCACTGCTGGCTGGTGAGTGGCCTTGGGTAATTAATTGGGCATGTCACTAAGGTGGCTCCTTAGGTGACCAGTCCTGGTCACCCTATGATCCCGAGGATGTCAGCAGACTCCAGTTCCTTGCAGCTGATGTCCTGAGCAAGTCACTTCCTCTCCTGGGAAGGCTGGGAGAAGAGAGGTAACAACAGTGACCTCCACCTTGGTGCCCACTTCTCTGAGACTTAAGTTTCCTCAACTGTCCACAAGACATACAGTGGCTCTGCTCAGTGTCAGGAATGCATAGGGCATCCCGAGGAGACAGAGTCTGGCCAAGGTCTTGGGTTGGATGATGACCTGAGAAGTAAAAGGAAGAAACTGTTTTCCTGCTGGCCAAGGTCAGGCCAATGGGAAATGCAAGTCATCACAGAGGGGGAAGTAGGTCCCAGTGGCAGGGGAGGGTGGGGAGACACCCTGGAATGCCTTAGTCTTCCCTCCCAGAGAGGCCACTCCACAACCAGCATGGCCCTTGTGACCAAGGTGGCCAGCCATGCCGGCTGGTGCAGCCCCTCCCCTTGGCCAGGTTTCCCACACCTACAGGACCCTTGTACCTGCTGAACTCTGGACCACACAGCTAGTCCTTCTGCTTTCTGCTTCTCCTTCTGAGAGCTTCCTCCAGCTACTTTCTCAGCCAGCCAGGGAATAAACAGAGAAAGTCGATGATAAACCACTTTGTATTATTCTCTGGCCAGAGCTGGGTTGGTGCTTTGTGTTGCCCTTGATAGTTTAACCAGTTGACTGAATAAAGTTAAGGAACTGAGTGGTGTCGCCCCTACCACGTGAGTGACAGAATGAAGGACAGTGCCTCCCATTCCACCATGGAAACTCTTGATTAACTTAAATATATCAAGCTTTATTTTAAACATGGAGTAACCCTGGAGGAGCAGGGTGGCAGAGGGTGGCTCAGTACTGACTGACAGATGGCGGGGCCCATTTGTGCCTCAGTTTCTTCATCTGTGGAAAGGGATGGCTAGCCAATGGTCATGGTGACATCTATGGATGAACACAAAAAGCCTGGCAACTTTAGAGGTCAGAGAAAGTCAACTGTCCACCCACATCTGGGACATGAATGGAGCTTTTGAGTTCAGTGTCCCCTGAATTCCTATACACAGTGGCCAGTGTACCCATCGAGGACAACAAAATATGATCCATCCATAGGACAGAATGCAATTTGGACCCTAACAGGCAGAAAATCCCAGCCCGATCAATGGCATCACTAGGCTTCTAGAACATCATACTAAGTAAAGCAATCAAACGTGTGAGAGTGGTTTCTAGGAGAAATGCAGTTTTAAGTTTGCCTTTACACATCAGTTTCTCACCCAACCTGTGACCAAGTTAGTGCTGCGCTTTGAGATAGATTGTTTTCTATGATGTATTCTTTCTGCTTACACACTGCACATTCAACCTGTTCAGGATTAACTGGCCTCTAAGAAAAATATCACAGTCAATCTAACTATACTTTAGACTGACAACATAATTAAGCCTTGCAAGCTCAGCTGAATGTTCCACTTTGATTATACTATCTATTTCTCCTTTGTAACTGCTGCAGGACACTATTGCTGGGGACAAATGTCCACTCACCCTAATAGTGAAGAGACCAAAGTACAGACTAAGTCCAATTTGGTGAACCAATGAGTTGTATTGGTGTTCCACGCAGCTGTGTGGGTGAGGGGTCACTTACAGGCGCACAAATGACTCAAGGCAGCTGCATCACCGGAAGCTGTCACCAGAATGGTTGATGGTTCATAACAGTGGGACCTGAAGACCTGGAGCTCTAACTGAACAACCTACAGGCAGGTCACTGTAGGCTGGAGAGTGTCATTTGCAGGTAGCTCAGGTGGTCAGAGACTCTCTGAGGCAGGTCTGGCTGGCTTGTTTCTTCTGGGCCATTTGGCTGCTCTGATGCCCTCAGAGGCTAACTGTAAGGGTCTTCTAGGCCGCTCGGCTTATCTGAGAATATTTAGCAGTTCTTACAGCGTATATGCATGTTTGACGAAGGAGAAGCCCAGTGAGTCTGGTCAGTTTCAGGGACTTCCTGAAGCTATTCTGAGTCATTGGCTTCCTGTCTCAAGCAGCTTCACTGTTAGTGCTTTCCCTCCTCTTAGACCATCCTGTGCTTCACCTCCCTGGAAAGGTCCTGTGACTTTAGGGTTTCCCTCCAAAATGGAAACTTTGAATACCAAGGAGACTGCCATACAACAAACTCATTCATGTTCTTGACTCAAAATGCCATGTGTGCACCAGTTGTGGGGACCAGATCTAAGACCATGTGCTGGAAGGAGTGTGCTCTTCTGAGCAGGTAGAGCTGAGGGAAATTTTTTTTCTCCTTTCTGAGACTCCTATAAAAGATTAAGACCAAAGTTGCTTATTTCTGTTTGTTACATCTCCTGTGTTGTTCAGTATGGAGAGAGAACAGGACTCCCTTTTTAGATTAGGACTCTTCAACTAGAATTATTTTTAGACTAGACCTATTCTAGATTGCACTATTAGAATAGGCGAGACCCAGACGCTTAGATAAATCAGATCCACTCTTGGGCAAAGAACCAAGAGGTAGTCTTTTCCCCTTTATGTGATATCACCACACAATCACGAAAGGACAATGGCCATATATACCCACTCATGAGATCCATGCCGTAGACACAGCCACAGAATGGGGTTACCAGGGGCTAAGGGATAGAAGGGAATAGCAGTTGTGTAATGGGGACCATGGTTCAGGTTTGCAGGGCAAAAAGAATTCTGTGCAGCTGGAGAGATGGTTCAGTTGTTAAGACCACCTGCGGCTCTCACAGAGGCTCTCACAGAGCACCCAAGCTCAGTTCCCAGCACCAATACTGAGCAGCCTCACAACTGTCTGTCACTCCAGGGCCAGGGGATCCAATGCCCTCTTCTGTACCACCGAGCACCTGCGCTCACACGTGTACATACTCACATACACACACACACACACACACACACACACGCACGCACGCACGCACGCACGCACGCACGCACGCACACACACACTGTACGCTAATGCTGACAGCCAGAATGGTACGTTTTGTGTTATGTATTATTATAATTAAACACATAAAAGGGAGAGCCTGTTATCTCAGCACTCAGGATACAGAATAGAGGGATTCTGAGTTCCTGGCCAGCCTGCGCTATAAAGACCTTGTCTCAAACAAACAAATAAAAAACAACACCCAGGAGATAAAGAATCAGCAGTTGCTACTTGGAGAGAGAAGGTAACCCTGTGTTGCTGGCTCTTGGACAGGTGCTGGCCACCAGCCTTTGCTGCCCTGACTCTCAGGTTACCAGGGGTTGGGTTTGGGGCAGCAGCTTTCTAGACAAGCTGTTCCAACTGCTTCTCTGCTGTGGGATCCATCTGTCAGCTGGCCTCTGGTGGACTATCTGAAGTGCCTGGTGTGACCTTACAAGACGCATGGTACCTCACCCTGCTCTGAGGAAGATACTGTGGGAATCTTGGGACAATATTGACAGTCCAACATGTGTCCCCCAAAGCCCAGGGGCTCCGAGCAGATGTGGGGTTGTGAAGGCCTGACTCCCCTCTCTCAACCCTACCGGTGGAGTTTCCTAGTCATTCCCTAACCTGTTTGAAATTAGGAACTCGATAGATGAAGCAGAGACTGAGTTACTCTGGTGAGGTTACACATTACACAGTGTGTCAGCACTGGTAGGCTGGGACCCCTGGGTTTCTGTCCCCTTTTGTCTTTGGATGCAAGTGTGGGCAGGACCCTAAGCTCTTGATCTCCCTTGGGTGCCCTGTGAAGCAGAGGCAATAACCTCCAGCCTGAGCTCTGTGGGCTCATCTGAAAATGTCACCCATTAGGACCTCAGGAGAAGAGGTGGCATCTGGCTCTCAAACACGGTGAGAACTGTGTAGACTTGGCTGTCCTGGAACTTGCTATGTAGACAAGGCTGGCCTTGAACTCAGAGAGATCTATCTGCTCTGCTGCCCTAGTGCTGGGATTAAAGGTGTGAGCCACCATGCCCGGCAACCTTCTGTGCTTGCCTTCTACAACCCCACTCTCTTAAACCTGGCACTTGGCCACTGCTCCCAAGGAGGAAGAGGAAGTTCTGACTTTCCAGGGACAACCCCTAAGCATAACCCCCCACTCAGGCCCTTTCTTCTCCCTTCAGGCTGGCGGGGACGGAGAGAGAGCCCAAAACAAAATATGGGGAGGAGCTGAACTCCGAGTTGAGGCAAAAAAAAAAAAAAAAAAAAAGAAGCTGGCGTTTAGAGGGGGAAATTCCTAAGTGATCCCATCTTCAGGGGGCAGAAATTCCTAGGGAGTGAAGTATCCCTCTTCCTACACTGGCCTGCAACCCCACCCTCTCCAAGGCAGACCCTGAAAAAAAAAAAAAAAGCCTGCAGAAGGGAATCCTGCCTGAGAAAGCTTGTCAGTAGGGGTCCCGAGGAGGCTCAGTGGGGGGTGTCTGTCATCTCTGCCTGCGTGACCCCTAGGCAAGGCGCTGCTTGCACCCAAGGCTTGGTAATGACAGGTCTTGAGAGGTCCCAGTACCGGCCGTGTGCCCAGCTACCTTAGGACGCCTCCTCCAGGAAGCTTGCCTTCCAGGCTTGCACGGACCCAGTGCTGCTCAGAGGGTAACAAACAGCCCGTGGCCGAGGCGTTGAGGTGGCAGAGGGCACACCCCAGACCTAAGTAGGTGCTGACTGTGTGACGCGGGACAGCGGCTCTGGGCGTGCGCCCCTGCTTGGCAGCCAATCAGAGACCGTCGTGGGACAATGGTCCAGCTCCTGGCGGAACCGGTGGCCCCCCTGAGACCCTTCCCTGCGCACACATACCCCGGCCACGCTGGGCCAGCTTGCTCCAGGCTGTTGGCAACAACGAAGCGACCCCGCCCCTCTTTCTAAGGGCCCGGCCCCGCCCCCAGTGCTGGAATCCGCTCGTCCTTGAGCTCCGCCCTCCCGCGGATTTTCCACGGTTGCGGCTAGTGGGAGCCTGCGACTATTTGAGGCTGTGCCCCGCCAGGGCCAGGGCTAAGACGTCCTGTCCCGGACACAGTAAGTGACCTCCACCGGCGTGCCCTGTCCCTACCGCTCCTCGGAGCTAGCTAGCTAGCTTCCCCTCCAGTGCTGACCCAGGTCGCCCCCAGGACTCCCCGAGGGAATGGCCCTGAGTGGCCAAGAAGAGGCAGGCGCGACATTCCGAGGTCCCTTGACCTCCAGCGTGCGCCTCCGAATCCCTGGAGCCAGGGGGACCGGGTTCCTGGTGCGCAGCACCGGGCTCAGGGACCAGGACAACAGCTAGGGAGTCTGGGGTTTACAGTAGGAAGGTTCCAGCACACTCGGGATTCCCTGGGTATTCTCTAGTGGGGCGTGGGCGCACTCTCTTGTCACCCGGTGGAAGAGACAGTTGGTGGCAAGACCGGTGACATTCTCTGTGGACGGGGCATCTAGAATTAAGGTAGGTGACACCAGCTGCAGCCATTCCGCAAGCCTCTGAGCGGCCCCTTCCTGCCTCAGCGGGCCAGCTGGGACGGGTGTTTTAACACCACCTCATCACCCCTCCTGCTCCCTGGGGAAGCCACAGTCACAGGGACACAGGGGACTCACTCTATGTGGCCCATCGGGTGACAAGTTCCAGGCTTGTGATTTTGCCATGTCCCCGGGAAGCATTGTGCATAGCAGGGTTCATCCTCAATTCTTAAACGGCAAAACTGAGGCCTACTGAGGAAGGGGGCTGTTTAGCTCCACCATGGGGGAGAAGTGTAGCTGGTCCTCCCTCTGTACAAACAGACTGTGACACTGAGGGCAGGTGGGGCCAGATATTCAGGTTAGGGCTGAGAAGCTCCATCAGCCAGACCTGCCTTTATGGGTGTTTGTCACGCACATTGGATAGGCTGGCCCAAGCCTTAAACACTGCATGGTCTTCAGTGGAAGTCTCAGGCCTCATGAGGTTAGAGAGAGAGGTCTGTCTGTTCAGGGCACCTGGTAAAGATGACAAGAGCTGGGGTGGAGGAGCCCAGGCTTCCTGTCTAATCAGGGTGCTCTACCCATGCCCTAGTTATGGGACAAGCCCCTCAGGAAGTGGGCCGGACAGCCACGCTGGTGGAGGCAGAGAGGTATGGGAAAGAGGCCTTATCTGAGGCTGTAGAGTCTGCTGTGCTTGGGGCAAGCACCTCCCATCAGCAGGCAGAGTCAGTTTCTCCTCTGTGGTGGTGGGTCTTACGCCTGCTAGGGCTGTTGCAAGGTGCCTCCAGGTCATTTTGGTGAGTTGAAGCTACAGCTTGGGGTGTGTATTCTTGGAGACAGGGCAGGCAGGTCACCTCCTGGTAATGGGTCATACCATTACCACAGAGGCCCTATTCCTGTCTGCACCTCCTTCTGGGCTAGCCATGCTTCCTCTGGTGGTCCTCCTCACTCTGACAATCCAGATACAGTAGGGTATGTGGAGGACAAGAAAAGCCAGGCAGTCATTTGAACCAGATGCTGTGGCTTCTGACCTCATGCTATTGACCACAAGGTTATTTTAAGCTAAATAACACCCTTGCTGGTAGAGAAGAGATGGGATGGGCACCCAGGAAGGGCATAGAAACTGAAGCTTTTGTGGGGCACCCCACTTGGGAGCAAGCAGGGTAAGGTGGAAACCAGGCAGTGTAGGTCCCACATGTCACCTCTGTATCCCCGTGCCTTGCTAACATGTAAAAGGCTTTCCGGGGTCCTTTGCTTTAGGGTCTGAAGTCCCCAATCCTTAGACAGCAGAGGGGACAGGCTTTGTTCTTTTTGTGGTTCTAGTACAACAGCTGAGTTTTTTGTTGTTGTTGGTGGTGGTGGCGGGATTTTGTTTGTTTTATTTTATTTTATTTTTGCTTGTGATATATTTCTGTGACTCCCGAAGCTAGATAAGAACTGTGCAAGGAGAAGGAGGTAGGAGGCAGAGACTGATCTCAGAAGGTAGGGTGCTAGGGTCCTGTGACCACCGCATGGCTGTGAAATTTTCAGAGCTGTTGTTGCTGTCCTAAGGAAGAGCAACCTGGGTCCTGTCTCCTCGCCAGAGACTGGTGGAATCAGAGAGGTTCTCACTTCCCATGTCCCCTCCAAGAAGCTGCCCTGTCAAGGGAGGATTTACCCTACTGCAGAGACTGCACCTCAGTCTGGAAGGTCTGGGGCCTCCAGCCTTTTCCTTATCTGGGGAGACAAGTTTGTGGGCACCCATGGCCAAGGAGGAAGCAGGGCTGAGGGCCAGGAGATGGGATTTCTGGTGGCTGTACAGGTGAAATAGACTGCAAGCTGGTAGCACTCAGGCCTGGGGACCATTCATGGTGATCTCTCAAGGCTTTGTTTCCAACCTGCAGGCCTGAACCAGGGTGATGCTGAAGATGGTGACTTTCTTCCAAGGGCTTCCTGGCCAACAACAGTCTGTGCTGGGGACCTTGGACTTTCCTGGAAGCCCCCAAAAGTCACAGTCTGCATCTGAGGTGGAATCAGAGGCCTCCATGTCAGAGGCTTCCTCCGAGGACATGATGCCATCCCAAGAAACTGGGATGGCTCCGGATGAGGAGGAGGAGGAGTCCACGAAGAAGGAGAAGAAGAAGTACAAAGGACTGGCCAACATGTTCAGTGTCTTCACCAAAGGGAAGAAGAAGAAGAAAAAGAATCAGCCCAGATCCTCAGATCCTGAGGTCCAGCCCAAGCCCAGGCCCGAGTTAGATGGTCCACCGCCCACAGGTAGGCTGTGGTGGTAGTTGGGGCTGGAGTAGCAGGAAGGAAGTGGTGCAGGTTTGGGCAGGGCAGGGGCTCTTCGTAAACCACTCGGCCAGGACAGAGGGCAGGTGAGATGGCTAGGCGAGTCACCAATCTAGGAGACCGGGGTTCTCTGCCTGGCTCTTGTCTGGGACATTGGCCTCCTCCCTGGGATCCCAGCCTCCTCTTGTCCCTGGTGAGTTTGTTGGCCTAAACGCCTGGTTTCTGCGCTGCAGTGGAGGAGCTCAAGGAGGCCCTGGAGAATGGGCGGCTGGAGGCCGCGTGGCCGGTGCTGGCGTTGGAGCGGGAGCTGGAGGCTGCGGCAGCGGCGGGTGGCGCGAGCGTCGAGGAGCTGGTTCGCCAGCAGAGCAAGGTGGAGGCGCTGTACTTGCTGCTGCGCGACCAGGTGCTGGGGGTGCTGCGGCGGCCGCTGGAGGCGGCGCCCGAGCGGGGGAGCCAGGCGCTGGCCGTGGTGTCGCAGCAGGAGCTCGAGGACCGTCGGGCGGCCGGGGGACCCGTGGCAGCGGTGCTGGCGGCCACGCGCCCTCGGCGCTGGCTGCAACTGTGGAGGGGTGGCGTGGCCGAGGTGGCCGCTGAGCGTCTGGAAGCGCAGCCAGGCGCGGTGCCCGAGGGCCGCTCAGAGGTCGAGAACAGGTTCGTGCACATGGGCTGCACCATGAAGGAGGACCTGGAGGCAGTAGTGGAGAGGCTGAAACCGCTGTTTCCCGCCGAGTTCAACGTTGTGCACACCTATGCCGAGAGCTACCACCATCACTTCGCAACCCACCTGTGCACCTTGGCGCAGTTCGAGCTGTGTGAGAGGGACACCTACTTGTTGCTGCTCTGGGTGCATAACTTCTACCCCAAGTGAGCTTTGCCAGGGGATGGGATGGGTCTCCTCTGCGGGTGAAGGGTGCTGGGGCATCAGAGGCAGACATTGCCGAGCTGAAAGCCAGGGTTGAGGTGAAGAGAGTTGGGAACGGGTTGGCTTTGCACTTCAATTTCCTGGACTTTTGCCATTCTGCAGTTGGGGAAAGGGAGGCACAGAAAGCGGAACTGCGTCATTCATTCTCAAGGAGGTCCCCTATCTGAACATCGAGAAAACAGCATAGGAGGTGCTGTGACAGATGCAGCTAGACATTTGGGAGCCCCAGAGCACGGGGCTTGCGAGCAGACCAGATCTGGGGGAGTCAGGGAGTCTTATCTATTGAGTCAGTTCTCACTGTAATGGATGTACAATCAGGCAGGGAGGGGACAGAACAAACAAGGAGGAAGTGACAGGGAGGACGGCATTCCAGGCAAGGGGAGTGACATCCTAGGAGCTGAGCTTAACCCCAAGCAAGAGAGCCAGCAGCCGTGGAATGGCACTAGGTGTTCCTCTTGGGGAATCTCTCTCAGACAGTGTTGCCCTGGGAGCCCACTGGGATCTGGCTCACCTCAGGTGAAAGGCTGGCTGTGCCAATTGCCTAATTGGTACTCAGTTGGGCCCAGCCTCAGGCATCGTTTGATTGGCCCAGAATCCATGGATCCCAGAATGTTCCTGCCATCCACACCAGCTGGGCGAGAGTGACTTTTATTACAGGGTGGAAATGTCCGCAGCACTAGAACCAGGCATTCTTACTGATTCCGCCGACCTGAGTGTAAAGTCTACAAGAGGGAGGCTGCCGGTACTGACAGTGTGAGCAGTGTGTGAGCAGCTTGTTAGGTGCTGAGCCAGCCTCCCATGGGAGGGAGGGCCAGAGAAGGGCCACAGCAGGTGGTGGGTGAAGAGCCAGCATCACACAGGGAAGACAGGCAGGGACTTCCAGAGATGGCTGGGCCCTGATATAGTTCCTGTTGGTTTGACCTGACTCACCAGGAAATGCCAAGCACTCAAACCCCCTTCCTGGTCACCTTCCTGCCCCTGTGATACTTTGGGGTCTCCTGACTTGGGGCGCAGCTGCAAAGCAGGAAGCTAAGGCTGGCCTGAATGTGGAGTTCAAGGGAGGCTTGTCCAGGCCTGTGAGGACCCAATTGTGACTCGCATTCATCCAAACTGGGTGAAAGGCAGAGAGAGGGCGAGTCTTGATGTTTCAGGCAAACAAAGGGCCTTGGGCACTTCCAGGGCCGGGCAGGTCCCCTGGAAACTCTGAGGCCACTTGAGGCACCGAGAGAATTCTATAGAGCTGTTCTAGGGCAGCCTTTCCTGTTCAGCCACAAGGCTGATTTGGTGGGAGTGGTGGGGCTGACTCGTAGGGCCAGTGGGGCCAGAAGCTGTGTTGTATCTGTGCAAAAGGGGAAGCCCAGTAGACAAGCAGAAAGCTGGCTCTGGGGGCGAAGGCACTGTTGGTGGTCAGCGCAGAAGCAAAGGAAAGGAAGATCCCTCAGGGGGCTGGGCAAGAGAGGATGCTGGCTGGTGGGGGTGTGGGCAGCCTCCAGGCCACGAGGTCTGGGGATCTGGTTTAGAGTAGGAGGAGTGGGTGGGGAGAGTAAGAAGAGGCAGGATGACTCCAGCTAGAACTGAGTTGAATGTGGACGTGGGGAAAGGGGGGCACGGGGAATGGGGGAGCCAGGGAGCCGACAGAAACCACAACACTGTCTGCGGCTGCTGAGTTGGTTGCCTACAGGGCTGGGGCGCTGCTATCATTCCCTCATGCCAGTGTCTCTCTGCCCACAGTGAGATTCTGAACAGCCCCAAATTGGCAAAGGAGCTAGAGGGTATCAAGCTTGGGAGCCTCCTGCCCCCTAAACAGACCAGGTTGCTGGAGGCTGTGTTCCTGTCCAATGAGGTGGTGAGTGCAAACGCTGGGGGTGGGGCCTGACAGGGCTAGTGCAAGGGAAGGCCCCCGGCTGGATGCAGGATACGACAGACACTTTTGGTGACAGGTTTAGTGCTACTGTGACCGGTGTCTTTCCCCCTAGACCAATGTGAAGTTGCTGATGACCCGAGCCTTAGAGCTGGAGTCTCAACGCTGGGCCCAGGATGTGGCTCCCCAGAGCCTGGATGGCCACTACCACAGCGAACTGGCAATTGACATCATCCAGGTACCACTAACTGCCACCCTAGGCCCATGGTGAACAGAGACAGCCACAGATCACCTCTGATGGAGCCCATATCCCAGCATGCACCTCCCTCCCATGCTCTGGCCCCGCCCCGGTTCTGAGGGCCACCTGCTATGTTTATCCTGCAGATCCTCTCACAAGGCCAGGGCAAGGCTGAGAACCTCACTTCTGAAGTGGGGGTACAGATAAAGCAGCTGCTATTGATGGAGCTGGCTGCACTACTGAGGAGGTAGGCGTGTCCACAGCACACAGGGGCCCCAGCACCTCTGAGAGCTGTGGCTTCTCCTTGCGCTTAGGGTTGGTGGGAGGGGACCGCGCGGGGGGGGGGGGGGGGGGGGAACCCTTGCCTGCTCCCAATCCAGAGCACCAAGAGCCCCTGGTGGGGTAACTTCCTCAGGGAGTTGGTGCCTCCTGACGCCATCATCAGCAAAGCTCCCTAGCATAGAAGTTTGTAGCTTAAAAGAAGACACCCGTGAGGAATGGAGGCCCTGCTTCCCCTTCCCCTGACATCCTCAGAATTAACTTGGCTTCCTCCCACTTCTGAGAACACCATCAGCCCACTATTAACACACTTTGGCCTACCAGCTATAGAGGAGGGGCTAGGAAAAGAACAGGAACCCGGAGTCAGGCAGCACTTTCTCTGGAGCCCAAATGGGGCACTGCCTCATTTTTGCAGCTTGTAATATGATGTTTAGGAGCTCATGGCCCCTCCCTGGATCTTGGGGAGATCGGCAACCCAAAGACTGAGGGGGAGCGGCTTCTATTGTCCCAGTGTTTGAACTGGTGCTGAAGGTCCGTTCCCCTCTGGTTTTGTCAGCTACCAGCGCACCTTTGATGAATTTCTAGAGAAAAGCAAACTGCTGAGAAATTACAGGGCCAACGTCATCGCCAACATCAACAACTGCCTGTCCTTCGGGTGAGAGCTCTGGGCAGAGCCGCCCGCCCGCCTGATGGAAAGGGGGCAGATGGCAGGTGGGGCACAGAAGGGGAATTACGGGTCACAAGGCTGTGAGGAAATGACAGAGCCTGGAGCAGCCACAGCTAAGGGGTGGGTGCTGAAGTAGTCAGCAGGATGCAATTGATATATTTATTGCTTTAGCTTTATCAGAAAATTGAGAAGCAGAAGACGAACTAAGGGTGGAGAGCAAGAGACTTGCAAAAGGCAGGAAGGATGTGCCCGGGGCATGGGGCTTACATGGGAAGCTTGGGCTGGATGCCCAAGCAGTTGAGAACTGCTTCGTGTCCTAGAGCAAGGACCTAATTGAGGAAGACTAGGCCAAGGACCACTGTAGTGTTGGAGGCTGGGCAGGCTGTCATGGCCTCCTTCCGTTCACTCTCCAGGACATCCATGGAGCAGAAGTGGCAGATACCTCAGGAGTCCCTGAGGCACCTGTTGGATCCCTTGAAAGATCTTAGGGCTCATGGCTTTGACGCCTTGCTCCAGGGCCTGTTCGCAGAACTGAAGGTATCTGGAGGCCCATTCTGGGGCGCATCCTGAAGCCCGGCACAGGAGGGAAACAGGGGGAGGGGTAGTAGAAGCCCCAGCCTCAGGCCTGTGGGAGGCACAGGAGGGAGGTGCAGCATGGCTGGGGATGTCCAAGTGGTGGGTCCCTGAAGTGCTCCCCAGCTGACACACCCCACGTTCTGGCTTTGCCTTGGCCTGGAGGGGTCACAGAGCCGGGAGCATCTGGAGAAGTGTTCATCCTCCACTCCCCGCCCCATGCCATTCCTGGCTCCCATCTCCTAGGGCTCAGGACCTTTGCTAGCTGGATTCCATCTCCTGGGTGGGTGCCCCTTAGAAAGCAGGGCAGAGGTTCCAGGATCAGTGTCAGCACTGGAGGTCCAAAGGGCAGCCAGGATATATGGGAAGCCCATGGGGTGACCCTGAGTGACCTGGCAAAGGGCTCAGCTCAGCCAAGCACAAGGCCTTGTTTATGCAGGAATTTATTTATTTAAGAGAGAGGCAGTGGAAAAGACCTCGGGGCTGCACACAGGCTGTCCTGGCTCTCCTGAGCCACAGCTGCATGACCTTGGAAGAAAGGTACACACAGACTACCTCTGCTTCTGATCTGAGAGCAGGAACCTCAAAGTTAGCCAGGTCCTGAAAAGCCCTTGGGGCCCTGCGGTCATGAGTGTCTATGTGAGGGTGTCTGTGCCTGGCTGCCCTTCCTTTCTGGACATGACCAGACATCCTGCCTCTCGCCTGCCCCAGCCACTGTTCAAGAAGTTCACACAGACCCGCTGGGCCACGCCGGTGGAGACCCTGGAGGAAATCATCAGTACTGTGGACGTCAGCCTGCCTGAGTTCTCAGAACTGAAGGACTGTTTCCGGGAGGTGAGAAAGCTCAGGAGTGGACCTGGGCAGGGGGGTTGGCGAAGTCTGAACACCCACGCTAACTAGCAGTGTTTATACCCCAAACCCACACGTGTTTACACATGCACAAGGGAAATTCGGACACCTGTGCTCACACTTTTGCCTCTATGTATTCCTGGAGTTTTGCCTTGGAAGCTTTAAT